TTCCATTATGAGTTCTGCACTTGTTCTGCTACTTAAAAAGCATTTCTTGTCACCAACTCTAAAGTTACTGATATGTTTTTCTGGTATCAGGCTTTACTTTAAATTACTCCATGTATTCAAAATATACATTTAGGTATGACATAAAATAAAAATTACTTCTAAAGAATTAGCCAATTATCTCAGAACCATTTATTAATAATTCACCCTCTTTTCATTGATTTAAAATGTCACATTATTATACAGTAGATTGTATTTGTAAAGTCTGAGCTTATTTCTGGATGCTCTGTTTTATTCTCTGATATATCAATTGAGACTGGCTGCAAAATATTTTTCTTACTATAACTTTATATTATGTTGTAAAATCCGGAAATCAAATTTCACCATTAGTCTTCTTTCTCTTTTTCCTACCAATATTTTCATGGTTATTCTGACTCATTCCTCCAGATAAACTTTAAAATAATACTGTCAAGGGCTTCCCTGGTGGCGCAGTGGTTGAGAGTCTGCCTGCCGATGCAGGGGACACGGGTTTGTGCCCCGATCCGGGAAGATCCCGCATGCCGCGGGGTGGCTGGGCCCGTGAGCCATGGCCGCTGAGCCTGTGCTCCGCAACGGGAGGGGCCACAACAGTGAGAGGCCCGCGTACCACACACACACACACACACACAAAAATAATAATAATTAAAAATAATACTGTCAAATGTTCCCCCAAATCTCTCTGGCATTAACTGCATTAATTTTATAAACAAAAACAGGGAGAACTGGTAACTTCACAACATTGATTTTTCCCATCAGAAACTCCGTCTCTCCCTCCAAATTTCTATTTCCCTTTATGGAGTTTTGTCATTTTATTTGAATGGGTCCCACACATTTCTTTTTGAGGCTTCAGGATGAAAAAGCTTTAAAATTGGTTCACAGTTTGAAATGGTACCTAATCAAACTTACAAGCTTTTGCACAGCAAAGGAAACCATAAACAAAACGAAAAGACAACCTACAGAATGGGAGAAAATATCTGCAAATGATGCAACCAACAAGGGCTTAATTTCCAAAATATACAAACAGCTCATACAACTCAACAACAACAAAAAACAAACAACCCAATCAAAAAATGGGCAGAAGACCTAAATAGACATTTCTCCAAAGAAGACATACAGATGGGCAATAGGCACATGAAAAGATGCTCAACATGGCTAATCATTTGAGAAATGCAAATCAAAACTACAATGAGGTACCACCTCACACCAGTCAGAATGGCCATCATCAAAAAACCCGCAAACAGTAAATGCTGGAGAGGGTGTGGAGAAAAGGGAACCCTCTTGCACTGTTGGTGGGAACGTAAATCATTTATACAGTGTAGCCACTGTGGAGAACAGTATGGAGGTTCCTCAGAAAACTAAAAACAGAGCTACCACATGATCCAGCAATCCCACTCCTGGGCATATATTGGTAAAAACTATAATTCAAAAAGATGCATGCACCCCAATGTTCACTGCTGCACTATTTACAATAGCAAAGACATGGAAGCAACCTAAATGTCCATTGATAGAGGAACAGATAAAGAAGATGTGGTACATATATATAGTGGAATATTACTCAGTCATAACAAAGAATGAAATAATGCCATTTTCAGCAACATGATGCAACTAGAGATCCAGTGAAGTCAGTCAGAAAGACAAATACCATGTGATATCACTTATACGTGGAATCTAAAATATGACACATGAATCTATGAAATAGAAACAGATTCATAGAGAACAGACTGCTGGTTGCCAAGGGGGAAGGGGTTGGGGGAGGGGTGGAGTGGGAGATTGGGGTTAGCAGATATAAGTTTTTATATATAGGATGGATAAAGAACAAGGTCCTACTGTACAGCACAGGGAACTATATTCAATAGCCTATGATAAACCATAATGGAAAAGAATATACAAATAAAAAAAGAATATATATATGTACAATTACAAAAAATTTGTTCATTGTTTAAAAGATATCTCCAATTTTTTCAATTCAATTTTACAATTCAATTGTATTTTGTAATGACCAATTCTGGTGTGTGCAGAAGTGTGTAGTTACACATGTTAATGTCTATTTTAAATTTCATCTAGATATTTTGAAACCAGATCACTTTACTGAGATTATTAGTTTTAAAACTTTTCTAGTTGATTTCCTTAGTTTTCCAAGAAGATAAGCATATCAATAGCAAATAATAAGTTTTTCTCCCTCTTTTTTATTTAAGGGTCTTATTTCCTTTTCTTGGCGTATTACACTAGCTAAAACACCCAGAACAATATAAATAAAATATCTTCTATTTCAAGTTGCACTAAAAATATTTTTTACATCATGAGTGGGTCTTGAAGGCAGAACTAATCTACAGAGATTGGAAGTGGATCAGGGGTTTCTGGGATGGACTGTGGGTGGCAGGCTCTGTATCTTGATTAGGATAGTAGTTATGTCAGTGTGTGTATTTGTCACAAGTCACGGACCTGTACACTTAAAATTTGTGAGTTTTTGTTGTATTTATTTACACATTGATACAGTGTTGAGTGTTGAAAGCTTCGTTTTTTTGTTTTTTATAAATTTATTTATTTAATTTATTTATTTTTGGCTGAGTTGGGTCTTCATTGCTGTGCAGGCTTTCTCCAGTTGCGAGAGCAGGGGCTACTCTTCGTTGCAGCGCCCGGGCGTCTCATTGCAGTGGCTTCTCTTTACTGGGGAGCATGGTCTCTAGGCGCACGGGCCTCAGTAGTTGTGGCTTGCGGGCTCTAGAGTGCAGGCTCTGTAGTTGTGGCGCATGGGCTTAGCTGCTCCGCGGCATGCGGGACCTTCCCGGACCAGGGCTCGAACCCGTGTCCCCTGCATTGGCAGACGGATTCTTAACCACTGCGCCACCAGGGAAGCCCCTTAATGCTTTTATAAAGGTTCTATTGCACAAACAGGCTGTGATGATGAACTGTTCCAATCATTCTTTTCTCCCCTCCACATTTTATGCATTTAAAAAACATTATAACAGTAAGAAACAATCACAGCACAGAAGTGTTTAATATGCAGTTAAGCACCATGGAATAAAAATGTAACTCAAGGAACAGTGCTTAAGAAGCCGCCTGCCAATGCAGGGGACACGAGTTCAAGCCCTGGTTTGGGAAGATCCCACATGCTGCAGAGCAGCTAAGCCTGTGTGCCTCAACTAGTGAGCCCGTGCTCTAGAGCCCGCGAGCCACAACTAGCCACAACTACTGAAGCCCGCGTGCCTAGAGCCCATGCTCCGCAACAAGAGAAGCCACAGCAATGAGAAGCCCGCGCACCGCAATGAAGACCCAACGCAGCCTAAATAAATAAATAAATAAAATAAATTTATATTAAAAAAAAATGTAACCTGAAATGCCACCATGGCAGGGATTACCATCAACATTTCTTCCCTCTCACCAACCCATTTAATCACACTTACGTGTGTGCACACGTGTATGTGCACACACACAGGCACCATGTCACCTGCCACTTAAGACATTTCAATGGCCTACAAGACTGCACGGTCTGGCCTCTGCTGTGACAAATTACCACAAACTCAGTGGCTGAAGATGATGCAAACGTCTTCTCTTTCAGTTCTGGAGGCTAGGGGTCTACAGAGGGTCTATGCAGGGGGGCAGATGTTTCTTTCCGTTTCCAGCAGGTAGAGCTACACCCGGCTCATGGCCCTTCCTTCATCTTTGCAGGTGGTGGCGAGCATCTGCTCCCCCAACTCTGCTTCCTTCTTCTGTCTGACATTTCCCCCCAACCCTGCCTCCCCTTGGTAAGCACCCTTGTGACAACACAGGGCCCCCTGGACAATCCAGGATTATCTCCAACCACAAGGGTCTTAACTTAATCACGTGCAAACACCTCCACGTAAGGGAGCGTTCAGTCTCCACAGGTTAGGACGTGGACATCTTTGCGAGCTGCTGTTCAGCTGGCCACCCCTTGTAGTGGAATAACTGAGGACATGGAAAGGAGACGTGACCCATCAGCCCCCCGCCAGCAAACTGGGGGCTGGCGAATAAGCCAGAACTGTGAACAGTCCTGAATGCTTTGAGCCCCGCCCCCGGCAAACCAGGGGCCTGCGAAGAAGCATCGAGTGCTTTGGGCGCTGATCCATGAGAATGTCCTCAGTGTAATCAGTGTGGTGGGAACACAAGGCAATGTCCTTGTGCAACTTGAGTATAATCAAAATAATGGTGGGAACTTTGTGCTGCTTTTGCGCTCAAGGACGAAGCGCGGCATGTTTTCAAGAAACCCCGTTATTGCTTTTATAATCAATAGAAACATATGTTGCTGCTTTGGCATTTCTGAAATGTTAAGGAAACAAGTCTTAAAATGTTAACGTAGATAATGCTTTAATAAAAGCTACCACAGCAGGACAGACGGCACTGTTTTGCCTGAGCGGGCGGCAGCCCTCTACTGCTGTGCTTCGGCACAATTCATCTCGTGTGATGAGCTTACTTTCGGCCCTGTCATAAGATAAACTACAACCCCTCACCTCCCTCTCCAGCCTCGGGCTCCAGGGACCCCCCCAGCACCCCAGCTGCATCGCCCACCTCTCAGTATCTAGAACACAGCGCATCAGGACGTTTTCACAGAGAAAGGAGACCATCCCCATAACCGAAGGAAAGGGATTTCCATGCCCTGGGAAGGTGAGGCGAGTAGCAAAGCTGGGAACAGTGACAGAGTGCCCAGAGGAGGACACCCTGGTGACGAGGCTTCTAGGACATTCGCCACTGCTTCTGGGTCACGTGTGGAACCAGCCTCAGGCTACAGCATGAACAGGGGACACAAGGACACAGCGCCCCTGACATCTGGGCCTCATCCGCAGCCCAGCCTCCGGCCGAAACGCAGGGTAATGGCCGGGAGGAGTGACCGGATAGAGCCACACGACAGGAAAACTCCCAACGACATCAGATTTTCAGAGTCCAACCCACCCGCCCACAAGCTCCACAGGGAGACCTGGAGGTCAGATGTGCAGACGTCCACTCACCGCGGTGGAGAGGCGTGAGGCCAGTGTCATCTCCAGGTTGCCCTTCAGGCCCACCAGGGGCGGCACCAAGGTCAGCAGGTCCTTCACCTCTGTGAACACGGGCCAGTGCTGCAGGGAAAGAACTGGGGGGTCAGTCCAAGCACATGTACCGCGCCTCTCAGGAACTGCTTGAGATATACTTTGACAAGTCCTCGTTCCCTGTAAAATGAAAAAAACTACCCAGTTTCTTAAATGGCTTTAAACTAAACAGAGTAATGATCAACCGTAAACAGTGGCCCAGGGAACCCCTTCCTTCCCTGACTGCCGGGAGACTGGGTCTGGGCCCATGCCTGTGGACGGGGAACTGCTCTGTCCTGCGTGCACGTCTGTAGAAACAGGAATGAGCCCCCAACTTCAAAGCTGGGGATTTCTTGTGGGATTTCTCACGGGCGAGCTGGCAGGACGATCTGGGCTGGGCAGGGACTCCCTGGCCCCAAAGCCGATGGGTGGGGTCCAAGGTCACGGGGGTGGGGGCCCTGGATTTGTGAAAACTGACAGAATGTGTCTCTATCACTTGTAAATACATAAAAATGTAAAAAGAAGGAACAGGAAGCACAAGCACGCTTCAAGAGAACGCGAAGATGTTTCTTTGTGAAGGGAAACTGGTCCTACCTGTTTAACGTGCAGTTAGACCACCCCTACCCCAACCAATTTTTCACACCCCAACTGACCGACTAGCTGCTTTCGCCTCCCTGGGCCTGAGCTATCTGTGACCCTCCACAGAAGCTGGTCCTGAAACCCTACTGCTCTGTGAGCTGGGAGGCAGGTGGCGTGGGGTCTGGTTCCCCGTCCCGAAGACAAAAGTCCCCCTACCCCAGGGGCCCAGAGGGTCATCAAAAGAGCCACCCCTTGGGCTTCCCTGGTGGCGCAGTGCTTGAGAGTCCGCCTGCCGATGCAGGAGACGCGGGTTCGTGCCCCGTTTCGGGAAGATCCCACATGCCGCGGAGCGGCTGGGCCCGTGAGCCATGGCCACTGAGCCTGCGCGTCCGGAGCCTGTGCTCCGCAAATGGGAGAAGGCCACAACAGTGAGAGGCCCGCATAATGCAAGAAAAAAAAAAAAAAAAAAAAAAAAAAAAAGAGCCACCCCACAATGCATCTTACAGGATCTGGAAGCAAAGGGGCCGGCCAGGCCCTCTGAAGACCCCTTTGTGTCCTGAGATCTGGGAAGTTTCGCAGACTCACAGTTACGGTTCCCTCTCCTTTACCTTTTCTACAAAGCTGGGAAGTTGAGAACCCAGTCCCAGCTTTGGTGGAGTTACAAGCCTTCCTCTCCGAAAAGTGTGGAAGGAATGTGTCACCAGCCAGGGGGGTGCTGCGTCCTGTCCAGCAGAGGCCCCTCCCGCCTGGGAAGCCCCCTCCCAGGGGCTGGTGCTCTCACCCTCCTCCCACCAACACACAAGACCGAGTACCCACCCCCACAGTAAACCCCCTTCTATCCGCCCCCTTCTTCCCCGGCACCAATGAACTTGGCCGCCACACCTGAGACCGATGTGTGCGGGGTGACTCCCCATGGGAACCCCTCCCCCGCTACGTGACAGGCACACCCATGTCTCCACGTGGCTGACGGGGCCTCGTCCTGTCCTGTGCTGACCTCTGATTGTCCCATCTTGGCCTCCGCTGAGGGCTCCTCATCTCCCTCCTGATCTTTTACATTTTTCAAACGTAAGGGACTGGAGGCATCCCTGGTGGCGCAGTGGTTAAGAATCCGCCTGCTAATGCAGGGGACATGGGTTTGAGCCCTGGTCTGGGAAGATCCCACGTGCCGTGGAACAGCTAAGCCCGTGCGCCACAACTACTGAGCCTGCGCTCTAGAGCCCATGAGCCGCACCTACTGAGCCTGCACTCTAGAGCCCACAAGCCACAACTACTGAGCCTCCGCTCTAGAGCCCACGAGCCGCAACTACTGAGCCTGCACTCTAGAACCTGTGAGCCACAACTACTGAGCCCGCACGCCCAGAGCCCATGCTCCGCAACAAGAGAAGCCACTGCAGTGAGAAGCCTACACACCACAACTTAGAGTAGCCCCTGCTCGCTGCAACTAGAGAAACCCCGCACACACCAAGGACCCAACACAGCCAAAAAAACCAAAAAACAAAACACAAAAATGTAAGGGACTTATTTTCTTTCTCCAGACAGGAAGGCTGCAAAGGTCTAATAACCATCTCTGCTTCTTCAACGTGGGCAACAGATATCTCAGCGCCCACAGTAACCTTGAATCTGTGGGACCGACTCACCCACGACTGTTATGCTTTCAAAGGAAAACCCAGGGTCAGCTGTTGCCAAGATCCCGTGTCCACGGCTGAGAAAGTCCCCGTTCCAGGATACACGGAGCCAAGCTGGGAGAGGTCAGGCTGCCCACAAGGAACCTGAGGCCCTGGTGCATGCTCCCGCCCACCCTTCCCTGGACTCACCCCATCCACTCGGATCTGATTCTGCCAGCAGTACAGCAAGGTTGTGACCCCCTGCCCTCTAACCCTGACTCCCCCTCCTGCTTCGGTTCTCCCTTCTCTCCAAGTCCTCTCCCTTCCAAGGCCAAGGCCCCTCCCCATCCCACACAGGGGCGGCAGGAGGTGAGCCTGCGAGCGGTGGTCCTGTCCTCCTGCAAGGGGTCGCCTGGGCTGGGCCACAGGCACGGCCGAGGAGGGTTGGGAAGGGGCTTTAGACACATCAGGTCTGACGACCATGAGGGGCTACTCAGGGACAAAGCCAGCAAAGGTGGACGGCACCAGGAGAACAGAAGGCCAGGGCCCCAGGGACACCAAGTCCAAGGGGTGAACAGGGCTGGAGTTGCCTGACCTGCAGACCTCTTCAGGGAGACCCTGAATGGGTCGGGATTTTGGTCACCCACTCCCAGAGCACCCTGACGGCGGCTGGCTCCACAACCCAGCTCACGCCTGCCCCCGGCTGCGGACAGCCCTGGACGTCCCACAGGTCCCCCGCCCAAGGCTCCACGCTGACCCTGCTGCATGAGCCCCGTGCGCTGGCTCTTGCACTTGCGGGGAGGGGTCTCTCAATCACGCCTACAGTCCCCAGCTCTCCCCTGCAGCCTTGAGCAGCACCACTGGGTCATCTCAGACCCCAGCAGCCAGGGAGGACATGTCACTCCACCCCTTACGACCCTTCACTAATTCCAGTTCTGGGCACACAGGTCCTCATGTTCCGCAAACACAAAGGCAGTGCAGACCGGGGCATGAGGAGTGGGCGGGGCTGCGAGCCCTCCATCTGGCAGGTTAACGCACCCCTTTATCCCGAGATGGCTCACCAAACTGCGTGCTCACCGGCTGTGCGATTTCCTCCACGCCTATGCTGGACCCCAGTGAAGAACAAAGAACGAGGACAAAGTGAACAACGCCTCACCCTCGGTGGCCGCCCCCCTGCCCACACACTCGCCCCCTCCGTGGTCTGCGCACAAGGGCCCCCTCTCTGGGACGTTCACTGTTGCTCACGCACCCTGGAAATGCCACCTCTGAGGCCCAGCAAAGCGTCTGCAGTCTCAGACCTGCCCCTCCTCCCTTGCTGCCTCCGCCCCCTGCTCGTTGTCTGCAGGGGGGCCCAACGGCCACCAGACACGCCAGCCAGGAAGGTCAGCTTCCACTCAGGATTCAACCAAATTCGCTCAACAAAGGAGGAACTGGATGACAAGTGGCTCTGTCCACCTGCCCGGAGCTTTGCTCTCGGCTGCTTCGAGCAGCCAGCCTGTCTGGTTCAGCCCTGATCTAGGAAGAGTAATCACATGTGCTTTCACGGTCCCTGGTGCCCACATGTGCATGTAAACCCCAAAAAGGTCTGGAATGACACCACGACTCGATAGTAAGGGACCTATGGCGACTGAGGCCGTGGTCAAAGAGGGCTTAACCTCGCTGTGATGCTTGTTCCATAAAAAGACATACTTACACCTTACTTGTGTAACTGAAAAAAAATGTTTTGAAGAGACGAAACTGATACTCTGGCCACTTACTGGGCCTCAATTCCCAGGCCCAGAATCAGACTCCCGGCCCCAAAGAGCGTAGGTGAAACCTGCACCCAGCCAGGCACAGAGCCACACCGGGGACCGTCCACGAGGTGCGACTGTCAGGCCAGGTGGTCTACCTCACTGTGGGCTCGGAAGCCCCGAGGCCCGGTGTGAATGGCTCTGGTCAGGCACCAGCCTGGGTACCGCTGGAGCCAGGAGCCCCCTGTGATGTGGCTTCCCTCTGGGAGCCCCAAGACTGCTTCCTGCACCGCCAAGAGGGGTGAGCAGGGAGGTGGTGAGCACCAGAAGCCAGTAAACAGAGGGCCCTTGACCCTCACACACACTGTCTGCAAGGTGGGGACGAGAAAAGGGCTGTGACGTACAGAGCCGTTCCATCCTCCCAATCGCTGGCCCTCCCGAAGCTGACGGCTCAAGGCCAAACCTGCAGACAGCCTGCCCCACGTCTGCTCTGGACCCACCTCCCAGACGGAACCCGCACGCGGTCAGGAAGGGCGCTGCACTCTCCAGCTGGACACCCTCCAGACCCGGCCCCGGGGCACCTCCGCTGATGGTCAGGCATGACCCCCTCTCCCCCCAGGGCCCCACCAAACCTCCTGGACTCTGTCGAACTCTCGGCCGCCTGTTCTCGGCCCTGAGACCCCATAGAAAGGGTCATGGGTGAGCAGGTCGAGGACACGAGGCCATGCTCCATGCAAGGTGCTGGGGAAGGTCGAGGAGAGAGATTCAGGGTGGACTCTCCCAGTGTCCGCAAGGCCCAGGGAGGGCGACAGACCCCAGGGCAACTCCAGGGGAAGCAGCAGACAGGAATCCGGGTCTCCAGCTGGCAGCACGTGAGGAAGTGCCCTGTCCACTGGGCAGGGCGGCCAGACACCGCCCCAAGAACCTCGTTCAGAGCTGGGTATCTGGGTGGGTGTCGGCCGCCTCCTCCAGCTCACAGGCAGGGGCCCGGCGGGATGTGAGAGGTGACGGCCCCTCCCCCCGCATGCTCACATACAAGCCCCAGCGGATCGAGAGCACACCAACTCCATAAGCGACCCAAACACGGCTCCCAGAGCTGACCCAGGGCATAAACAGACCCCCTGGGTCTCCCAGCAAA